TTTAAAAGTAGAATTCTTGAATATCTGTGTCTTCTCCATGGTCTATGGTTATGGTTGTTATTCTTTTCTGTGCTATTGGTTTTCCTCATATGCCTGACCAAGGTTGGTTATTGTCTTAGTTACTCTTCTCTCATTGCTGGGACAAATACCCGAAGCCCAAAATTAAGGAAAAAAAAGGTTTATTTAGCTCGCTGTTGGAGGTTTCAATCCATACTCAGCTGGCTCCAAGACAGAGTGGCACAGGGCCGAAAGCATCCATTCATGGAGGCAGCAAAGAGCAGAGAGCACAAAAGGGAGTAGCAGCAGCAATGGCAACAGAGAGCAAGTCTGTGTCCATTAAGTTTCACTCAGGCTATCTGCTCCAGGCTGGGTGTAGCCCTTTCACCCATAATCCCAGCACCATTCACACCCATAATCCCAGTGGATCATGAGTTCATCACAAACTCTAAAAGTCTTCCCTATGATTGCATGAGACTTTGAGGGGACAACTAGACACAAACCATAACAGTTATCCATCCAAAATTCCCAGTAGGAGTATCTGAGGTGAATTTACTCTCCGTTGGCTTTCAATTAAAAGTTCCACTGTCCCAGCGAATTACTGTTGGCAGCTCTGTATGAGACTAGGCCAGGCTGCATGAATGGTGTTGATCCCTGCTCAGCTCTGCATATCAATACAGTGGGAAGAAGGTATAGTGGTCTTAAGTTTTTTCTTGTTTTTTTGCCACCTAAACAAGTTTTGTATTTTAGCTCTAAAGCCAAGAAGTCTCACTTTAGGAGAAAAGATAGAGAACTAGTCCTCTAAATTCCAGGGTTGGGAAGTATCAAAGTCTTGTCTGGCCTGGAGGGAATGCCAACCTCCCAGAAGAGGGGTTTAGGTGCACAGACACATCCAAAGGTCCGTGAAAATCTTCTCTTGACTCTGCTTCAACGTCGTTTCCATCTCCCACACTGGGTACCTTGACTCTGAACTCATACTCTTGTGGATTTTACTAGCCTAATACTTCCCACTCCCTGGCAGCATAAAGTCTCTCTCTTACTTGATATCTTGTTTCATTTAAAGATTCACTTTTATTCTCTCTGGCTTTTGAAAATTCTTTGAGATGTTTGAATGCTAATAATAATCTGTCCCTGACATCACCATTTTCTTCAGTGGCTTGGGGGTATATCTGTTTATACTTTATAAATAGCCCAACTCTGGTTCCTGCTGGTGTTTTGTGTAAGATGGGAAGGCAAACAGAGATGCCAATCATACTGTCTTTTATTTCTCAGACCACATAGCATAGTATAAAATCCTTAATGAAGGCCTCTCTAGGCTCCAGTTGGGTAAGATGGAGAGGCTTCTACTTGAGGAGTTGAATGATACAGAAGGAATTAACATGTAGCATCAATGGGCTACTGATCCTGTTTCTTAGCCTTAGGAAAAGTGGACCCAGCTGACTTTCAATCAGAGGAAACATCTTTGTATTAATTTTAGAATGCCTTATTTCTATTCTTTCAACTGTACCTATATTGGTGTTGGTTCTAGTTTGAACTTACTCTGCATGTTAAGTTTCCTGACTTGGTATCTTGAAGGAAATTTTTTCATATCTTTCTTGAGGAAGCTTCCATCAAAAACAAAAATAGATTTTTGCTTTATAGCAAAAAGCATCATCCTTCTTAATGTTACTTAAAATATTGAAGTTCACTGATTCCTATTTCTAACCTCTGAAAACCCCTTTGGATTTTTAATCTGCAATTCCCAGGGTTTGCCAATTTAGGACCATCTGCAAATTAGTTAATGTGCAGTTTAGCCTTTCTTTGAAATCAGTAATTAAGATGTAAAGTAAGACTGATCCCAGGCCTAATTCCCTGGGCTTCCCAGGAGGCCCTCTCCTGCTCCATAACTCTTTCATCACCACCTTTCCTTTATCATCTTCAGCCTAATCTCAAGCTATTTCACTAGGTATGTAATTAAGTTGATTTACGAGGGCTTCTAGATTAATTTCTATTTTGTGAAATATCTGTGATACATATTTATTTGCCATAGCTTTGTATTTACATATGTTGAAACATTACAGCCAAAGAAGGGGAAGATATTTTCAGTTAAGCTAACCCTAGCATTTGCTGTTATATTTTTACTTCTCTGGAGACACACAGAAATAGCTTCTTAATATTAATTCTATCATTTAACAGCAGCCAAAGTTCAGTATCTAGGTGAAAATTCAGGGATTTTTTTTTCTTTTTAAAAAATATTTTCTAGCATCTTTGTACTTGTTCAAGATAAAACAAACAATTATCTATATTTTAGAAAATTTATTCACCTATTCCCTGATTAGCCAAAGAAGAATCTTTTGTTTTCAGGTCCTAGGCATTTTCTATTAGCTGCCAATTATCTATGTCTCAGACTGACATTCAAATAATTAAATATTCAGGTGCACCGATCTTGCCACCAAGGGTTTTATGAGCATTTGAGAAATTTGTTTAAGTTTAATTAGGAAATTAAGCCATGGGGCAACGTTACTGCTCAGCTCTACTGCTGTGCTCTGAGTAACTAGACTAATCTAGGTCAGAAAAGCACAATAGGACACACAAACACCCAAAGAACGCAGAATTGTGCTTTTAATGACTGCCAAATTCTAGGATACTTTAATCTTTCTACTCTGGGACCTTCACTTCCTTTGGGGTGCAGGCTGGGCTCTGGTTCATAACCTAAATCTTAATGATTTTTAGCCCCTATTTCTTCCTTGGCAGTCTTTTCCTCCCTTCAGAACTTACTCAAGTATTTTATTACTTGTGCATTTGCAAAACGCATTGCTCTCTTCTCTAAGTATCAGATAACATTCCTAGCACTCTCAGAGGTTGGCTTTTCTGAGAAATGCATCTAGACGGGCAGTAAACATTTTTATTTGACTATAAATACACAAGAGTTTATGATGTGTACAGGACCATGGAATGACTGATGGTTTCTCCCTGGCTGATCCTTAGCTACATTCTGGCAGAGGTGATTAAAGGCATAGGTCTTTCTCATTTTATGTTTTGCTTAAAATTTTCCTATTTTTTGGCCTGGTATAACTGAAAATTAACCAAAGATCAAGGAAAACATGAAATGGAAAAGAAAGTAGAAAAGAAACAGGTGAAAAAGCAAGGGAAGAAGGTAGACAACCAAAGCACAGGAACATCTGAACGTACTTTCAGTTCAAGTTTTGTCAGCTCCTGTATTTAAAAAAAAAAACTTCTAGATTCCCCTGGGTGGAAATCCTCGAGGCAATATAAATGTAGTCATTTTCTCCATCTTATGGTTGAATGGAAGAGATGCAGATTGCCTTAAGAGACAATTTTTGTATGCCTAACACTATAAAACTCATGATTTCTAAAGATGGACACAGAAATAGAAGGTTACATTTTTAGGAGAAGCTTTTAGTCAGGTGCTTCAGGGAAATGAAAGCGAATGTTGTCAGTGCTTTCCTCAGGGGCGCTCATTGCTGTGATCAGGAAGCTATAGTCTCCATGAGATTTCATGAGCTTCTCTGATCTTGATTTAGCTTCTGTTACTATATTATTGTCTCTGACTGCATACTATTCTTTTTTTCTACTTATTATTTTACAGTGGGCGAGAGTTAGACTAAAGCTCTTCTAGACCTAAATTAGAATATGTAAGAAAAAATAGGATTTTTAATTTTTTTATTCATATCCCATAAACATATTCATACATACACGAACTGCATAATTTTGAATATCTGAACTATATAAGGCTTATTTTACCTCTTTTTTTTTTTAATCTTAGGGAAGGGTCTACAGGGCCTTCAGGATCTCACTACTAGATGAGCACCCCAAGAGCTGGGATTACAGGCATGTGCCACCACACCCAGTCTCAGTTGCCATCTCAGCATGCCCCCAGCAGGGCCGGCACAGCAGGCTGGGGGATTGAACCCCTGGCAGGGAAGCTGCGCCTGCTTGCAGGCACTTTAACTCTCCTTGATTAAAATTTTTTGCAATTGCTTATTTGTCAGGTAACATGATAGACTAGATTAACATGCAGATACAAAAACACTTAATAACTAACTGGAATTGATTTACCTAATAAGTCATCAAAATATTCCACCTATGTGTGAAATGATTTTGGAAACAGAGCTGCAATTGTAAACACTTTGTCCCATGATACCATCATACATGAACGTTAGCTGGATAAGAAATTCATCAGAATACTTTTGAAATTATGAGGCATATTAGAAATTAGCTAATCTGTTCTTTCAATCAAGAATAAAACAAATATAGTGCAGAGAATTAAATATTTCAGCCATCATACAGAAGGACAGTAGCAGCTAAAGGACTGGAACCTGAGCTAATGAGAGTGTCCTTTGATTTTCTGTCTGTAAGAGTGTGACTTAACAACAGGTATAAAATATGATCCAAGCTCTGAAGGAAATAGAGCTTTGTCTGGCAAGAAGTAATATCTACACACCAAGGCCAGCCCCACCATGAACCTCAGAAAGTGTACACAAGTAAAAATGGAAACCTGTTGGCTACTTATGAATTGTAAAAGCAAGAGGTAAGTTGACAGCTACTGATAGTCTTTAGCTGAGAGAACAAGCCACAAAATAAAAGGCCTGATTTTATGTAAAGTGTGTAATACAGCACAACACAGTATTCACTATTTAAATGTATAATACGGTATTCTTGATTTGAACATGTAGACGAATCACTAAGATTCTTTCCAAATGTGTTTATTCTTTGTGCTATCTAAACAATTTTTAACGTTCTAAATTCTGATAATGTTTTAGTTATTGTCTTATTTTTCCCATTAAGTAGGATTATTTAATTAAATACCAAAGAGGTCTGTACTTAAGAATCCTGGACACCAATAGATGGCAGTATTATACAAAACTATTATTTCCATTTTAAAAAGATTATTTATATTGCTAAAAAAGTCAGTTTGCCATATATATGTGTGTGTGTGTATATATATATATATATATATATATATTTGCATACCATATTTTTAAATTAAAAAGTAAAATACAGTGGTCGCTTTGGCAGCACATCTACTAACAGTGCAGTGATGCAGAGAAGACTAGCTTGGCCCTGTGCAAGGATGGCGTGGGTATCTGTGGAGCATTCCATATTTTTTTTTGTTTACTAAAAATAGTAAAACGTAAATTAGAGATTCTGATGTGAGACAAAAAGAGCTCAGAAAGAGCTTCTAAAGGTTGAGAAAGAGCAATATAAATTTGGAAGCTAGTAGGAAAAGACAGACCCCAGGAATACGGGCAGGAGTTATATCTCCCATGCAGAATCAATTGTACATGATGGCATGAATAATGTTGCAAAGTTTGATTATTTTTTGAATTAAGTTTCCTTTATTAAAGCCATTTCATCCCTCTATAATGTTCTCTTTAAATGTAAAAAGAAAAAGAGCATATATTCCAGCTATCATTAAATGAATAAAGATTAACAATTTTGGATTTCTAAGAGTTGCACATTTACCTAAGTATGAGTCTTATATGACAACAAATTTAGAATATAAAAATATAACTTTAAAAAATTTGCATTTAATAAACTTGTTTTTATATTAATCCAGGTCCTTTTTAGAAACAAGTGTTATTCTGATCAAAGTCTGAATATAGTACATGGATCATAACTTGCTCAGTTGCCTTCCTGTGTGATAGGTGTCAGTGAGAAGAACCAACTGAGAATAAATTCCAAACCATTTACATTGCAAAACTATTCTTCTAGGTAGGGACACAGAAACTAAGAAGGCTGCAAGATGACTTGTATCTACTGAGTAACGGTGGGTGTAAGTTTTAAAGGACACAACATGAGTCTCCCTTGAACTCTTTTCATTCCTCCATTCCTTCCTTTATGTGACCAGCCTCTGACATAGTGAAAGAAAAGTAGTTTATTGGATCCAGCTCACTTCTGCAACACTTTAAGTAGACACGGTACTCGTTAATGCTGGGGACTTTTGGAAAGACAGCTGTATCTCCTCATGCTCCCAGACCTGCAGTAGTAGTACAGGCTTCACCACCAGGTACTTCTTCCTTTAATTAATTTGCTGCAGTAGTGATTATATTAGTTTGTTAGGAATACTTGTACACATACATAGACCATGTTATTGGCAGTATTTGCTATCAGTCATATATGTTGAGATTTTGAAGCTAAAACTCTTCACTACTCTATCAGAGGAAACACACCAAAGAGGTGCTGTACAATTCAGGGTGCCTGATTCTTTCATGCTCCGGGGCATATTGTTATCACCAGCTGAGGTCAGGGGAAGAAAAAAATCCTCACCCCTGTGTTATAATACTGTGCAATTAGGCACATAATGTGGATTTTATGCTTTTCTCTGAAACATCTGGCATGTACTACTCTCTAAAAGCAAAGCTTAGAGAGCCAGACCTCCTGTAGCATTTTAATATCAATGTGCCTTTTCACATATTAGTTACTAATGTTTGTGTCAGGTTTTAAAACACCACATCCAAAGTATCACCTCTGAATGAGCGTAAATTCAAAATGCCTGCCAGGGGGTGAATGTTTGTGGGAGGAACTAATATCTGCCTTAATCTAAATACCAAATGAATTTTAGATTGTCATTCTAGCCCAGCATTAGCATTGTCCCTTGGGAAAATCATTGTTTCTGTATTCATTACAGATATTCGGAATTAAGAATCGATCTATTTAAACCTTGTTGCTACCATTATGTCTGCATTTCTGACATATTAGGAAGATGTGTGTAGTTATTACATTTGTCCACAGAGAAAAAAAGTTAGCAAGTTTTAAATAACTCTAAAATACCAGAAAATGAGGTAAGTCATGTAGGGAAAAGACAAATTATTTTCATCTAGAAATTCTTGTGATGAAAATCTTCTCTCACTGCAATCCATGTTCTCCTTCAGGCATGGTAATTGAAGTTAAAGTAACTGTTTCAATGAAACACACTGGTTTTATTTGTCATGCCATCTGTACGAGATTCTATTTTCCAATAAAACTCACATGGGAACAAATAAATTTGATTTAAAAAATACAAGAGACACAAAATTAGAACTTAAAAATAATGACATAATTTATGTGCTTAACATATTAGGACAGTTAAAAAATGGTAAAATGTGGTGAAAGATTTGGAATGGCTTGCATTTCTGGATGGTAAACACTCTCAGTTGGCATGATGCACGGCTCTGTTAGTTTTGCTTAAATTTTAAAAAGTACATTATGGAATTGTTTTAGCCATCTGTAATGGGTGGACTCTAATAAATTATAACATGAGAATGTAAAAGTTATATCTCATAGGCAGTTTGTCTATAATCCCTGAATATTCTCCTTAATTAATAAATCTATTGAGAAAAGTTTCTAGATACTGATTATAACATTGGAATGTGATGGTACTTCCCACCATTGGGCTTATTGGCTTAGAGTCATTTTGTAGAGGTAGTTCAGAGACCATAGGAATTCTTCATTTATGGGCACAAGGAGATGGTGTCTAAAGTTTTCTGATCTAAAATATTTAGTACGTGAACTTTAATGTGTGACAACTTGCGGCAAATGCCTTGCTATCTAAGAATACTAAGCATGTTACATATAAATATCTGTATTTTGACATCATAATGATTCTTAATAAATATCAAAAAGCAATGCCACTATGCCATAGTATGAAAGGTGTTAGAAGCAGATGTCATCTTTAGGATGGACAGATGGGGCAGGACTTACCATCTCCCCCTGGACGCTTTGAAGGAGTTGAATGACAGAACTTAGGTTTTCTTTTAACTTATGAAGTAATTTGTACAGGAACGAAGAGCAGTATCTCAACGATCTGATACATTATGTAGACTGGAAAATATTCAACTTCCAGTGACACGACCTTCTGCTTCACACTGAGGCAGTCCTGCAGAAGCTCATGAAATGCTGTGGAAAGCAGAACACTATTGTTTGAGTAAAAACGTAAAGATGAATTAGAAAATCAGGATAATTCTTAGGTGTAGAGTCAAGGAAGGTAGCCGAGTGAAAGCACATGAATTAAGGTTCTGGTTTCAGGGCTACGGACAATCAAATATAGCTCCAAGAGGAAACAGAGAGGAAGTCCCGGGCTTCTAGGCAGCATGGACTATAAACTTAAGAGCCTGGAAGACTGCCCCCCTCTTTTTTTTACACAACAGCCTCAGGAAAAGTCAAGAAAGCTTTTCTCTAGATGAAAAAATAAACCTCCCAGGAGAAATCAAAGCCTGAAGTCCAAGTCCATACATCCATGTTGTGTATGATTCCCAAACAGAGAAATTAATGGAATATCTGAGCCTCACCCATCAAAATCTCTGGGGCATTCCGTGAAAGCAAATACAAGGACTCTTCCATAATGTAGAGTGCCTGAGACCCCCCAGAGGGGAAACACTATAATCAACAGCAACAATGACATACCAATTTAAGATGAGCTTACAAGAGTCTGGCAGGAGACCAGGGAGACGTTGGCCAAAAGACACAAAATTTACTTAGACAGGAGGAATAAGTTCAAGAAATGTGCTGTAACAACATAGCAGCTATAGTTAATAGTAAAATATTGGATATTTGGCAACCACGGAAAGTAGGCTGTAAGTATTCAGACCAAAAATAAGTGGTTAGAAAATGTATTTGTTAATTACCCCACCAGCTCTTTCATGATGCATACATGTCTCAAAACCTCATGTTGTACAACATAAATATATACAATTTTATCAATTAAATAATAATGGATTCACTTAGAATAAAAAATTATGAATTTCATAAAGCAGTGAAAACTGCAAGCAAAAAAGTCAGCAGGAAAACAAAAACTGCTAAATAATAAGACAATCAAAAGGTTAGGATAAAATAAAAACACATCAGCAATAAATAGATCAGAAATGTTGAAAATGCAAATAACAGTTATTTTCTAGGGTCTTTCTTTCTTTCTTTCTTTCTTTCTTTCTTTCTTTCTTTCTTTCTTTCTTTCTTTCGTATTTTAGGGAAGGGTCTACAGGGTGTTTAGGGTCTCACTACTAGATCAGACTCATAGTGATTCTCCTGTTTAGAGCCTCCGAAAAGCTGGGATTACAGGTGCGTGCCACCATGCCCAGTCTCAATTCCATCTCAGGGTACACTGCTGGCCAGGCGATTGAACCCCCACACCCTGCACCTGCTTGAAAGCACTTTAATCTGCTGAACTATTTGACCAGCCCTTCTAGGGTATTTTCTAATTCATCATTTCTTCTCGTTTATAAAATGTTTAAAGAATTACCCATTTTTATGTTCTAACAGGAAAAATATGAAGGGTCCCATGTTGCTGCATTCGGTATATTCATTCTTGGGAAAATCTTTCAGGTTCTTCTCACATCAAAGTCAACACAAAAGTATAAATTTCCCATTTAGTTCTAGGTTTATTTGGAGTGTGGACAATCCTAATATTTTGCTGTGTAATATAATTTCATTTTTATTTTCAAATAACTCTTCCATTTTCCCCCCAACCATTAGTCTGGAAATACTTTAGTAATCATAACAACAACTATTTTTCTAACCTAATATTACCCCTCCAAGCTTCTTCACCTTTTCTTTGGCAGTCTCAAAAGATTCTATATCATTACTGAAACACATTATCTTTGTTTGAAGAGTAAATTGCATGGTAATTCATTCATATCAAAGTTTGCAGACACAAGAAAGTTACATGAGAAAATGATTTTGAGCTAAGAGCAATCATATATCTTCTCTGTGCAACTGCAGGAGTACAAATAACCTTTCTTTGTCTTCCAAAATAAAAAAAAATCATCTTGGAGCTCAGAGGGGGGCACACAGCTCTCAGCGGTGGGAGGAGGCAGGACTAACAAGGGGCTGCCTTCAAAGATGGTTGGGACCCAGGAGGATTAGCATCACAGGTTTTTGGCATTGGAAGCTCTTTGAAGATTTTTGGATTTTCGCTTAACAGGTGGTCTCCCTGCCTGCTGTTCTCTCTGCTGATCTGAAGCCACACAGCCCAGCAGGACTCCCACCTGCTTGGATTTCTGGAGGTAAGGCCGCAGGACCTCACCTTTTCTTACACCCAGTGATTACTTTTATTATGAGAGGGTTACAATTTTCTTTCCCTTCTTCCCCACCCACTACCAACAGGCACCCTAGGCTTTGAGCAGCAATACCTG